AAAATGCCCTTCAAACCTCGTTATTACTTCCGAGGGGGTTTTCAAAAACTTTGCTTACACAGTACGTGTAGTAACGACACCTGAGAAATTTTCAAAGAGACTCGAGGGAAATCCATCGCCTACGAAAGTGCTTACCGTGCTGCAGGGACAAAAAACTGTGGCAAAACCAGAATTCTTCACACATGCTGTGACGTTGATGACCGTGAGAAACAAGTTTGTTTCCGGAACAGAAACAAGAGAATAAGCCCCGCACATTTCGCCGTGGATCCTGCTTTTCAGAACTGAGCTCACGCTTCTTCGGAATTTCCAGAACCTGAAACAACCACAAAATCCCTCAATTAAAATTCAACTGACAAGGACTGCGTAGATTTCCGAGATATAAATCAAATAATAAATAAATACGCACCGCTGAGAAGTTCCGTCAGCCGGTTGATCACACAACAGCTTCTCCACAATCCCATCCTGATGCAATAAGTCATTGGCCAAAACTGGCTCCACATCCGCCACGTGAAGTCGTTCCGTATCCCGTTTCCTCTTCAATCGAAAACTCGATGAAGATGCCAACTTCTTGTGCATCCCAGGGAAGAAGAAGTCTCCGGGTAATCTTCCGCCTCTGGCCGCAGTTGCGAGCGGAGACTTGGGCAAGAAGAGACTCGGGTGAGACACAACGTATCCTTTCTCGTCCATCAAGAAACACGTTATTTCTTTCGATGATTCTGTTTTACAGCCAGGAACGACCTCTGCCATCATTCTGGGAATTAGGAAATCAAATCAAATGAAAATTTAAGGAATTTTGCATGATTGCTACTCAAATGCCCGACGCTCTCGAGTCGTATGTATTTTATACATAGATGTCGCCTGAATACATTAGGATTTCGTTCAGTCTAACCAATACTACACATATATTAGAATGATTATGGGTAGTTATTTTAGGATAAGTCGAATTCTCTGAAATACTCATTCAAATACTCGAAGTTAATCGATATGTGAGCAGGAATCACTCACGCGACCCCTGTTTCACAATAACAACTATTGTGATGTAAAATTTCAAAGAAATTTGGGGTTGTTCTACAATTTTCTCGAATCACGCATGTATATTCTAGTGAAGTGAATGCTAATGGAATATTGAAAGACAACCGGGGCTTCTTTTCTCAACCGAGCACCTAAGGTGCTTGAATGGATGATTTTCTTCACTATAACGTAGATGTCGCCCGAACCCAAACGCGAAATACTATTACGGTACTGT